ACCACTGACTAATCCAATCTCACCAAGATTCCCCCTAAGTTTTCTTTTAAGAGTTTTACAGCTGTGGCTTTTAAATTTAGATATTTTATCTATTTTTAATTAATTTTTGTGTATGGCATAGGGTAATTGTTTATCTTCATTCTTTTGTATGTGGACATATAGTTTTCTCAACACCGTGTGTTGAAAAGACCATCTTTTCTTTATGGAATGGTTTTGGTACCCTTGTAAAAAATCATTTGACCATATACATGGGTTAATTTCTGTGCTGTGTGTGCTGCTCTACTGTCTTTATGACAGTACCGTGCTATTCTGATGACTGTGGCTTTGCAGTAAGTTTTGAAATCAGAAAGCATGAGACCTCCAGTTTTTATTTTTATTTTCAAGACTGTTTTGCCTATCAGAGGTCCCTTGAATTTTGATGTGAATTTTAGGATAGATTTTAATATTTTTGAAAGGAAATGGCATTGGGATTTTGATAGAGATTGTATACCAGTCCATGTACACCGGATGTCTTTCCATTGATTTGCTTCTTTAATTTCTTTCAATAACACTTTGTAGTTTTTAGTATACAAGTCTTTTACCTCATTGGTTAAATGTATTCCCAATTTAAATATTTATTATATTCTATAATGTAAATCTGTATTTCTCTTCACACAATGCTGTCAGTTGAAAAAGCGGTTCATGATCTCTAAAATATTTATCTACTAGATTTGTTTCTTTTATTTATAAGCAAGATACTATGTCTGTGTTTATTATTTCTTAATTTATTATGTTGCAACCATCCCCTGTGTTGTAAGGTCAGTCACTCTAATAAATTTTTAAGGATAAATAAGTTATTAAAAATTAAAAATGTATAAATGTGGAGCTGATTTTGTTATAAAATATGTCACACTTTTGGACTGCTACATATATTATAAAATAAAACTAACTGAAAATGAATTATTTAAAAAATCATGTAGAGTAGCAAAAGGAGTAAATCTCCTTTCTGATTATTGCTATTAAAACTAAATTTTGAATGATAAAATTAATTTTGCTGTGCATTTGCGCTCTTTAATTTTTTTTTTTTTTTGTGATACACGGGCCTCTCACTGTTGTGGCCTCTCCCGTTGAGGAGCACAGGCTCCGGACGCGCAGGCCCAGCAGCCATGGCTCACGGGCCCAGCCGCTCCGCGGCATGTGGGATCTTCCCAGACCGGGGCACAAACCCATGTCCCCTGCATCGTCAGGCAGACTCTCAACCAGTGCGCCACCAGGGAAGCCCTAGGCTCTTTAATATTTTAATTGAAATTGTAACTTGGGGGAAAAAAGTTTTTTATGATGGAGTTTGCAGAGAACCATGAATTCAACAAGTACAAAAAAAACCAAAAACTTTCTATGTAGACATACATCACAACTATGCAATGCAAATCAAATGCAACTCCTTTCCACAGTTTAGTTTTGCATCATGTTAATTGAAGAGAATATGAAAAGTAGAGTCTATCAGTAGGAGAAAATTTTAGAATATTTCTAAAAAGTTAGTAAGATAGTTTCAAGGTCTTTTTTTTTTTAAGATAACAGGATAGAGGAGAAATGGAGCAAGACCAGCAAATAGAAAGAACCAAGAGAATACAAATAGTAAAAAAATAGAGAAATATATAAGAATAAATTGGAAGGGAAAACAAAAATAGAGAAACAGTAAAAGTGAGAAGCAGAAGGGTATAAATGAAAGTATCAGGAAAAAAAACAGATTTCAGGAGAAAAACTGAGAATATAATATCTACAACCAACTCAAAAGACATAGATATACACAAACATATGGAAAGCTAAAAGCAGGAGTAAATCATTAAGGAGGGGAGAGAGAAGAAGGGAGGGGAGGGGAAGGGAGGGAAGAAAGGATTCCAAAAGGGAATATGCCTTTTACCTGCGAATTGACTGCATTGAGATGGTTACCAAACCACCATATAAGAGACAAGCATTAGCTCAGAGGACAAAATTGACTGACTGAGGGAATCAGGATGATTTCAAAGAGAAAATATTTAACAAAAATATTCCACGATATAAGAGAGTTCTCTAGCCACATAGTTCTGATGAAAAATTCTAGGTAGAAGGGACAGCATATACAGAGGCTTTAGAGGTAAAATCAAATAATGTGGTTTATTAGTCTTGTTTTCTTTAGTTTGCAATCTGGTCAGGGTAACTGTCCATTGAGAAAGCCATGTAGTCAGATCTTGCTATTCGAAAAGGTCATCTAGAGGACCTGACCACTTGATTGACCTATGAGCTGGACCCAGGCAATCAGAGCTCCTCACATCTCCCCGTCCTTGAAATGTACCTTCTGCCCACTGTTCCCACAGTGGGAGCTGTTTTCAAGGATGCAGCCTTGAGAGAGGAATGTACTGTTGAGACCATCTGGACAGTATACCTGACTGAACAGAGTAAGGCTTCTGTATAGACTTTTAAACTTCGGGTGGTTATAGAGATCTACTTGTCTTGCGGCCACCCAAGACAAGTCTCGTATATAAGTTCCCTTGCTTATTAAACCTGCCCCCTACCAATCTGGACTGGTCTGCCTCTTTCTCCCATCTCTCCTTGCCCTCTCTGTGTATGGATCAGTTTCAGATTTCACCTGGGAAGCTCCCAAGTTTGTGAGACAACACTTCCTGATCATTTTAAGAATTTGGAGCATTATTCTCTATGAACTGGCAGCTGCGTAAGAGGTATTGATGGAGAAAATTACTTGAAACAGAGAGCTCAAATAAAAGATTCTTGCCATTATGTAGGTAAGAGATGATGAAACCTAGAAATATACCATGAAAGCTAGAAATAGCAAGAGGTATTTAAAGAAGGTAGGATCAATGGATAATAAACTGGATATTAGAAGTAAACAAAGAAGGGGTGAATTGTATGACTACTAAGTGTTTAGCTTGGCTAACTAGGTGTGCAGTAGCATTTTCTACCTGACTAGCATGACATGAAGAGTAATCTTTCTGTAATGCACTGATTATTTATCTTTTCCACTTAGGAACCCTCAGAGATAAAGTCCAAGCTCCTTTATATAGCATAAAGGACTCATTATCTCTCCAGACACATTTCTTCCATGCCCTTCATACCTCGCTCTACACTCCAGCCATACTGAACTATTTCATTTATCCAAATGTGATATGCATATTTCCCTTGGGGCTTTGTTCTCAGTGCCTGGAAATATTCCTTATCCTTTTAACCAAGGCTTACTTGGCCTTTTCTAAATGTTACTTCCTACAAGAGACGATTCCTAATACTTCAAGAATAGTTTAGATATCACTCATACACAATTGCATATAGCCCTGAATTTATCACTGCAATATAGTGCTAGTAAAATTGGCAGTTTCTAAGTGGAGAGAGACATCTGAAATTCTTAAAGTGTGCCTAGTTTAACACTGTAATTATCTATTACATTATCTGGGATGCTCAATGCACATATGTGCAATGTAGTTGGATTTTCGAATCAACTGTCAGTTATTGGATATATTAACTTTTATCTTTTTTTCATTTGCTTTATGTATATTCAGTGCTAAGCACCTTAGTCTTTTTTAAAATGGCAATTGAGAGTCATAAATAGCCTTTTTCCCTTCCTCCCTCCCTTCCTCTCTTCCTTCTCTCCCTTGTTTTTCTTTCGTGGTCTTTGAAAATCTGCTAGATAACTATAGTTCCCAACTGGTATGCTGAAGCTGCTTCTTTCCAACTCCCCTATGTTTTCCCTCAACAATAGCTACAGAGTTACCACTTCTGAAGAGGGAGAAGGGCTGGAGGCATTTGCTGTGCTGTGTTCTATTTTGTTTCTCCTATTTCTTCTCCCCTCCACCTTCTTGAGTAAAGTGATCAGCTATAGCTACAGGGTGAATGGAGGAAAAATAAAAATATTCATTTACTTCTTCTGTTGGTTCCCAGGTGATTATATTATCATTGCCTCCCTCACAATATATATATCCCATTTTTGTTGTGGAAGCAACAATTTGTTTATCCATCAAATAATCAGACATAGAGCATTACAAAATGCCATGTAGAAAAGTATAGAAAGTTAAGATTGGGTATTTTAGCCAGCATTTTAAAAAACGTACATATACTCATGGATTATGATGCTTTTTAAATGCTTTTTCTGAAAATGTAAACACTGTTTCATATAGAGGATCCAAATAAAGAAATGGAACTGAAAACTTTGATAACCCTTCTTCCTATGTTTTGTGTGTTGCTAATATTCCACATAAAGTGTTCTAAGTCTCGAACCCAGAATATTATTAAAATTCTGAAAGAATTTTCTAATTTAGGGGAAATTGTCATATCACAACATATTCAACTGAAACAGAATTCAGAAGTGACTTGTTTTTATTTTTAATAGAAGGGAATAATTTATGTGATGGTTTTATTTGGAACATCTTATTTTCTTTAGGAGGATATTCGGAGTCAATATTTATGTCTGTGGTCACATATTAGGAATCTGCATTCCCCTTGTTCATTTTTATATAACTTCTGCATTTTAGCTGATGTTTAAAAATGATACACTTCTAAGTGGATCTGCATTACAATAAGTAATTGTTAATAAAAATACAATTATTTATGTTCAGTTACTGTGATTTAAAACAAAACCCTCTACATATTATAAAATTCATAAAATGACTTTAGGATGTAAAGAGGATATTTCCTGTACATAAATGATCCTTAAAACTGCAAAAAGGGATACGATTTAATATGTTAACTGAAAACTTTAAATGTTTCTCTCAGATAGAAATGTATATAGCATGATAGTATGGATTCTGGACTGTAGTTTGAAAGAAAGCAACAGTGAAAATGAATTTCATGCCAGTAGACACTTTAAAAACTAGATTTAGCAGCAGTCACATTAGCTTAGATAATGGGAGAATTTTTCTTCATTGAAAATGCTCTGTGTCTCTTAAGAAGAACTTACTGAGGCAGCCTGCCATCTAGCTTTTTCACAGAAAAACAGGCTTACAGACTGCAGATGAGAGAGTCTGGAGCAGCGACAATTTTAACTTAGCCATTCCTAATTTATCTCAAGCATATTCAATTCATCTTCACTGCTCTATGCACACAGGAACACCAGATTGCCTTCCCTGGGGAACAGAATGCAACCAGGGATCTAGAGAGCTGTCACATTCCAAGAAATATTTAAATTGTGCTGATTTTCTTCTGGAGAACTGAGCACAGGGAATGAAACTCTCCATCAAGTCATAGCTTTGCGGGCAATAGATCAGAGGATATTGCCAGTTTTCTAATGGATTGTTGTTATCGGGCAGGTTTTCTCTGAAGGTACGTAGTTATTTTCTCAATTCATTACCCTCTCCCTATTTATCAGGTAATGATCTAATGAGCTGGGGATCCAAACCTGTAAAAAAGAGAGATGTTAAGTAGTCGGTATTGACTAAAGAATGACAACTTATTGCTGCATGTTTATAGGTGAATAATCGGATTCCTTTACTAAAGATTATTAGGGTATAGTTTGAATTGCATTATCAGCAAAAATAGGCAAAAACAGAACCGTGCTGCAGGCATTATCATAAGTTCATATTAATTCTCTTGAGGATTTTCTTTTGTAGCTGCAATATATAATGAAGGGAAATACAGACTTTAGAAACTCACTTAACCTTATACATGTTTTAATCTTTTTACATAATCATGATATTTTCTCCGTATGTTCCCAAATACAAAACTTTGTCTCAAATGCTGTTATTAATTTTGGGGTCATTGATGCTTATGATATATGAATATATGAAGGACAAAAGTACTTAAAGAAACTCCAGTAGAGTCTTCAAGAGAATATTATATCAGTGTGCTTTGTTGGCTTTGCAGCTCTTTATTTTTGAGTTTGCAAGCATCTTACTAAAATAAATTGCTATAGTTTAAGTTAAAGGCACATACTATAAAGATGTATTATTCAACTTTGTTCTGTGAAGTGAAAACCTCAGTACAGCTATAGAAAACACAAAACTATTCAGCATTAAAATGTTAAAAGCTGACAAACTTATGAATATTAACTGAACCAATACAAATAGAGAAAGCCTTATCCTGACCTGGAATTTAGCTTATTATACCTGTGATATATTAGACAGGAAGGGGTGACTTCTGTGCATGTTTCTTAAAAGTTAAAGATATGTTTGTAGGGCATTGTTCTGTGTCAGAGTAAGTAGGGGTGTAGGACAGAAAGCAAGCACATAGTAGTCACAGTGAGTTTATGAAAACTGAAGAAATATTTTAAAATATGATATGAGGGCTTTTGATGCTTCTAAGTATTTTATTGTTTGAATTCACTCAGTGAAACCTACCGTGGATTAATATTTTTACATGTCAGAAATAACTACTAGGATAGGTAGAATAGCCGGTGCATGTGGCCTGGAGCATGGTGTCTCTGCTGCCGTATTTGGATTGTTACTCAGACTTTGTGGACCCATCGATGGGTTAATCACAGGCTTGGGAGAGGAAATGGTGGCTGAGCTTCATGAAAGCTCTGGTTAAATGTGCTCTAATTTCTTTGGAGCATTTGAGAGACTATTAGAAGAATAAAGGAGACGGAGAAGGACTGAGTCACCCAAATAGTAACTTTAAGTGCATTCTCTCTTATCCTCAGAGGGATTGTAAAAACAGAAAAGGAGGAGAACAGAGTCCTCAAAGAGTACTTTTAAGTGCTTCTTTTTTTCATGAATCTTACAAGAATTGAGGAACAGGGGCTTATATTAAGGTTTCCCTATGGATTCTTCCATTTTAAAAGCTTTTTCTCTCTTTTATGGAACATTTTTCCCTCCACTCACTTAAGAAAGAAGAGAGTGAGCTAGCTCCCAGCCTGATTTCTTCCCAATAACTTGTAGCTCTGATTTAAATCTACAGAAGTGTGCTTTTGAAACTGCATACACTCCTGAGAGTCTCAGTTTCACAATTCAGTGAGTTATGAATGCCAAAGGATAAAGTGATTTAACACCCTTTTTAAAATTATCACAATTAGCTCTTCTGAAAATCTCAGACTATGTGTAAAAGAGGGCACAAGTAGGAAAAAAAGAATAACTTCAGGGAACACACTTGATGTTCTTTCAGAGTAAGATACTACCAGTAGATAATGAAATAATATTCACTTCATGTTTGGGCATGGGGAAGAAATGACAGCAGCCTAGAAATATATCCTTTAATTTACATTTTGGATGTTATATGAACAGAACAAATATGAAAACCAGGAGAGGCAGTTTCAATTTTCAGATTGCAATAAAATTTTTTATTGCTCCAACCTCCTATTAACTTTTTCTACCACAGTCATGTTAGTGTCTCTTACCTTCCTAGAGGGTTATTCACTTACGCCGCTATCTAAATCTGCTCAGCTTCCAGATCTAGTGCTAAAACTTGTTTTACTTCATCTTATGGTGAGTTCATTGTAAAATATATTACCATAATTTCATTTTTTAGTTGCTGTTAAATATTTAATATTTATTGAGTGCCCATGATATGTTTGGTGCTTAAAAGCAATATGTAGGAAGAAAATACATAATGATATTTCTCCCAAATCAGCCAGTTTATTAATATTTCAAGATTTCTAATTGGTGCCCACAGAGGAAGGCAATTAAGTCTGACTCTTTAGTAGCTACTTAATGTGCATGTAAGGCATGAACAGTCCTATATTCAGTCAATAATTTGCATTCAGCTTTACTGAAGATCCCAGACTAATCATCCAGATGTTTTCAAATTCTCCCTTAACTGTTTTATATGTCAAAGTGTCATTGTAGACAGAACACTGGATTGGGGGTAAGAAAAACTAGGTTTAAATCTGTTAATCAAGTTTGCGTAGGTCAGTCATCTCCTCCATACCTCTATCTTGTCAGTGGTATAATTGTGATAATTCTTGTGGGTAGTAAAGATCATGCACATTAAGTAACAAACACATAGTTTGTGCACAACATATGCTCAATAAGCAGTATCTGTTTTTGAACGCATTTTATCATAGTTTCACATACAGTATGTTCTATTTGAAATCACCTTGACTCTTTCTTTAATGATGTGTATGTATACCTATGTAATATCACAGATATATTTGTTTAACAGTTTTGGTAATAAAAATAATGTATTGGTAATGTAGTTATTGCTTGGCACTAAAGTACTCTGTAGAATTACTAAAGCATTACCCATGCATAGATAAAATTGGAATTTAAGATTAGTTTGAGAAATTAGTTGGCATATTCCCTGTGGCTTTCAAATAGCAAAATTATCAACCATAACTTACCAGGGAAAGAAGGTAGAACTATATCTCATTTTTCCACTTTTCCCTTCTCCCAAAGGATATGGAAATAGAAGACAAAACAGTAAATCCTCTTGCTCATTATAATGTGCCCTTTGCCCCTTTCATTTGCGTTTTATTTTGCTACAGTAACTTGTCTAGTGAGATGGCCTCAAAATTCCAACTGCACAGGGCTGTTCAAGCATACAAATCCACCCCTCAAGGAACAAAGCAAATATATGAAAACTTTTATTAAAATAAAAGACAGGTTTTGCTTTGAAAAATGCTAAACATTTTTTAATGAAAGTGAAACTGTCAAATGCGAATGTTAAATCCAACCAGATGTTGACCTTAATTGTGAGTTTGAATCTTTACAAAAAGAGTATGCAAATCCAAGCTAGAAGCTGCTTTCTTTAGGTGGCAAGACTGCTGAAAAATACTTTGTCTGAATTTCTCAGATACATTTCATATTGAGTGAAGCGTGTACAGAAAACCTACTTTAATATTGTGAGTTATATGGGGAGGGAAATTAAGCATAATACGAGTCGGTCTTATATATCTGTATATATCTGTATTTGTATTGGAATTTGGAAATAAATGTACAAAAGTCTTTTTTATAAAAGGGGACCACCAAGTAATTATTTTGAAAGGCATGACAGGAAAGTATCTTCCACATTATAACTAGATCAAAATGTGGACACAAAAGCAAGCACCTGCTGAAAAGCTCTTCTTTTTTTGGTCAGTGCCAATCCTGTTTTAAATCTATGAATTTACCTACTCATCAATAAGGAGAAGGTGAAGGTTTGGATATCTGATTTTGTTTTCCAAAAGATCCTTGAAGTCCTTGTTCTATTGTTTTTTGATCCCCAACTTTGGATATTTTGGCCCAGTACTTAAGGAGATTAAAATCTGTATTCTAATTCCAACTTAGTTTTCTAATTTGTACAACTGTGTGTGTGTGTGTGTGTGTGTGTGTTGGGATAATATTCATATGGTGGTGTGGAATAAATGACAGAATGTTGCAAATTAGCTTTACAGGGGCTTGTTCTTATAAGTACAGTTGATCCTTGAATAACATGGGTTTGAACAGCACAGGCCCATTTATATGCAGAATTTTTTCAATAGTAAATACTACAGTACTACATGATCCATGGTTTGTTGAATCCAAGGAAGTGGAACTGAGGATATGGAGGAACCTTCCTCCATGTATTTGAAAGGCTTAACTATATGTTATATGCAGATTTTTGATTGCTTAGAGGGTTGGTGCCCCTAACCCCCAAGTTATTCAAGGGTCAACTATGCTAAAAAATGTTAATAAGTATTATTGTTTTTCTTATGACATCACCTTCTCCATGCCCACTTCTGATATTAGGTTTCCTGTATTCAGTTTGATCTTCAGACCACCTTTCGAGGGGGAGCCCAGATTTGTGCTCACCTACATACTTCTCCTACTTATGGTTTCCTCCAAGTAAATTGTCTTATTTACTGAGCCCTGCCCCTTTGACCTAACCTTAAACAGCTTAGCCACAGTCCCTTGAGGTGTTTTTTTTCTCAGCAAATTCTTAATGGGAAAGTATCTTTAAGCTTAGTAATTCTCTCCTTATGTCTGTTGTGTATTGACAAACTAATAGGAAAGGAGACACAAAGAAAATACTGGTTAACTTGTGGCAGATATAACCTCCTCAGCCTTCTAGAGCAGAGGCTTTCTTCTATGAAAGGCCTACCAATAAGAGTTATGAGCTGAATTGTCTCTCCCTAAAATTCATATGCTGAAGTCCTAACTCCTAGTAACTCAGAATGTGACTGTATATGGTGATAGATCTTTTAGAGAGGTAATTAAGTTAAAATGAGGTCATTAGGGTGAGTCCTAATCCAATATAACTGGTGTCCTTATAAGAAGAGGAAATTTGGACACAGATACGTACAAAGGGAAAACCATGTGAAGACCCTGGAAAAAGACGGCCATCTATAAGCCAAGGGGAGAAGCCCCAGAAGAAAGCAACCCCCCTGACAATTGATCTCAACTTCTAACCTCCAGAATCGTGAGAGAAAAAAG